GAGATAGAGGATAGAAATTGGTAGACGCTAGAGACAGATAGAAATAGTTGAAGATAGATGATAGAAATATCTAATTAATCTCTTTAGATACAGACATCTCTCTAAGTCTCTGTCTATATCTATCTAGTTAGTTTTTCTTCCCCCATCTTCTTCCTCATGCCTATACACAACTCAAAAACTCATTCAGATTCATCTCAGAAAGCTGGAGGTCCACTTCTTCAGCTTTTTAATGCTCTGGCCAGTTCTAGGAGCGTGTGGGTGGTCGATGGGTGGTCAGTGGCTGGACGGTCAGTGGGTGGACATCTCGGGACTATTCAGATCTCCAATGTCACACCACACAAGAACTCTTCCTATTGGCTGTGGGAGGGCACTGCCTGGGTTAGTCTCCATCGGGGAATCTCAGTCTGTTATGTCTCCCCTTCTCCCCCTCTCTGCCCCCCTATTCTCCCCCCTGTTTAGAAGAAGCATCCTGGAGATTCTCAGGATTTTTCTGTCAGATTCCTCTGGGTTCAAGCTGAGGTGAGGGACTCAGGTCAGGACCCCTTACAGCCTCCAGCCCGGGATATCTGGACTTGTCTTTTGATCTTCTGTGTCTACTCCACACCCCGAGTTAGTTAATCTCTCCTGGGGGAGAACAGAGGCATTTGTTATTTGGCCATCAGGAATTAACTCCTTTGGGGGTTTGCATGCATCCTTGGATGACAAATCAAAGCTGCACCCAGGTCAGGCGCCGGTGGTTCACGCTGTTCAGGAGGCTGAGATTTGAGGATCAACAGTTCAAAGCCAGCCCAGGCAGGAAAATTTGTGAGACACTTATCTCCAATGGACCACCAAAAAAAAAGTGGCGCCGTGGCTCAAGTGGTAGGGCACTCACCTTGAGCAAAAAAGCTCAAGGACAGCGCCCAGGTTGAGTTCAGGTCCCAAGAACCAGCACCAAAAAAAAGAAAAAAAAGTGCACTGGAAATATCTTGGCAAAACCCAAGACTTGAACCCAAACTCCCTGTACCTTGATATATATATATATATATATATATATATATATATATATATATATATATATATATATATATATATATATATATATCACTGCAAAAATCACTGGCAAAATCAAATGAGTAAAATAAAACTTGTAGCTTAGGGTATGGCTCAGGTGGTAGAGCACCAGCCTTGAGAGAAAAAAAAAAAAACCCCTCAGGGACAGCACCCAAGCTGAGTTCAGTATTGGCACAGGAAAAAAAAAGGGGGGGAAGGAATCTCCTACCCTTACACCACCCCCCATCCTATTACCCGCCCCCTATGGGTCCTAGAAGTATCAGGTGGTTTGTTGAAGGTCTAGCCAGCATCTTTCTTGCTGTGTCCTTTTGCCTGCAGTTGCATGTGGCGGGCTCTACTGGACCACACAGGCCCAGGCTGCAGAGTGGAAATGCTGGCAGGGGCCTGGTGGCTCAGTGAGCTCTGGGGTGATTCAACTCTGCTCCACCCCCATCCTCCACCCTTCATGTTCCCTTGCCCCTCCTCCTGTCTGCCCCTGGCCCCAGTATCATAAAGCCCTGTCGTAGCCTGAGGTTTCCGATTGGGTTCTGGCCCAGCCAGCTCATGCTTGGAGCTCTGGTGTGGCCCCCTGCCACTGTGCCCTTCCCGGGCCTTCCTTTGACAGCGAGCCGGGCTGCTCCCCCACTGTTCATGCCACTACAAGAAAACTTCAGTTGCTCAGTTGTCCAAAGTCTTACTTGTCTCTGGGGAAAACAGGCACGCACACAAAAAGGACCTGGCAGCTGGCGATTGAGGCGGAGTGACATCTTTCAAAGTCCTAGGGAGGACTGAAAGCCAGGCTTCCCCGGGGATTAGCCAGGCATTCATTCCCTTCAATGAGGGTGGGAGATTCTGCCTGCCCAGGCTGGTGAGTCCTGGTGCAGGGGTACACCGCCCCCCCCCCATCTTTCTCTCCCAGAGGCCGTGCAGACAGGGGTGGATCGTGTCCTGCCTGCAGAGCAGAGGGCAAAGCTGGGGCCCCAGTGGGGAGGGGAAGTGAACACACACACACACACACACACACACACACACACACACACACACACACACACCCTCCAGAGGTGAGCCTGGGTCCCAGACTCCTGTAGACACTCAGGGCGAAGGTTTATTCTGATGTGCTTTGCCTCTGTTGCTGTGTCTGTTTGCTAGGCGGGAGGTTGCTGCTCTACCCGGCTGCCCATTGGTCTGGGACCGGCTCTCTTCACCCCTCCCTGTACAGAGGTGTGGAAATAAGCAATCACTCACACACCTTTTCACCTAATGCTGCCTTCGGCCCAACCTCAAGGCATGAGAGGTGTTCTGGGGGTGCGGGGGTGTCTCTGTCACTGTGAATGGTTCCAGGAACCTGTCTGGGCCTCCAGGATTCTTCCTGCCTTGGGGTCGCTGAGGGACATTAGCAGCAGAGGGAGATACCAAGCTGCTGAATCTCAGCCAATGGAGATGTAAGAGGAGGATCACAGTCCAAGTGTAAGAGGAGAATCACAGTCCAAGTGTAAGAGGAGGATCACAGTCCAAGTATAAGAGGAGGATCACAGTCCAAGTGTAAGAGGAGGATCACAGTCCAAGTATAAGAGGAGGATCACAGTCCAAGGCTGGCGGGGAAAAGCAGGAAACGCTATCTGAAAAACAGACTAAAGTACACAGGGCCCCCATTTCGGACCTGTTGTTGACTGCTTTGGCATACATGTGAAAACATACCCAACACAATGTGTATACACACATATATATGCATAAACATGTAATGCATGCTTGTACACAGATGTGCATACACATGATCACATACAATTCCTAAATCCCTATGTGGATCCAGCCAGCTCTGGTATTGCTGAGATGCAGTCTCTCTCATCTGGGCTCAGCTTCAGATGATGATGACGATGGTCTTCTTCCTCCTCCTCCTCCTTCTCTTCCTCTTCCGTGTGTGTGTGTGTGTGTGTGTGTGTGTGTGTGTGTGTGTGTGTGTATCCCAATACTTGGGCACTGTCCCAGGCTGGCGCTCTACCACTTGAGCCACAGCTCCACTTCTGGCTTGCAGTTGGTTTGTTAGAGATAAGAGTTTCACGGACTTTTCTATCCAGTCTGCCATCAAACCATGATTCTTAGATCTCAGCCTTCTGAGTAGCTGGGACTACAGGCGTGAGCCACCATACTCATTTCTTCTTGTAGTTTGCCAGCTCCAGTCCAGGGCGGACAGAGGCTGTGCCGGCAGGACCTCTGTTGAGGGTTTGTCTTTGTGTTGTGTGTCATACACCCACCCTGTGGCCATTCTTCCAGCCCTGAGGATATTTCTGTGGCTTCCAGCTCCATGGCAGCTACTTTCCAAAGGCGGTGGCCCAAACTAGCTTTCTCCTAAAGAACCTACCCAAACTCCTACTCAATCTTTTATTCAATAATAACATTTTAAGATGTATCAGTGCATGTCCTGACTTAGCTTCAAGAATTGTCAGTGGCATAGTGGGGTTGTTTTTTCTTCGTCTTCTTTTCCATAACGACATTTGTTTTCAGTCACTTTTTCCAGCTTTAGATTTACTGGGACAGGAGAGAAACAGGAAATCTGCCCTGGGGGGATGGGGGGGTTGGCTGAGGAACTTGGCCAGAGTTGGGCTGTGCCATGAAGGGCGTGGTGTCATGTGTTCGGGCACTGTGTGCACACCACAAGCTGCTGCTGTCTTGTCTCTAGATCTCCCTGGAAACGTGAGACTCTTTGAGAATGCAGATTCCTAGGCACCACCCCCCACCCCCACCCTGGGAACCAGCCAACTAAATCAGGAAATTTAGAGACACGCTCAGCCGCTGTTACCCACGGTTAGAACCAGGTTTAAGTGTGAGCTGGTGGTTTTTCAGCTTCAGTCTTTTTTAATCGGTTGTGGGGTTTGAACTCAGGGCCTGGGCGCTGTCCCTGAGCATTTTTGCTCAAGACTAGCATTCTACTTCTCCAAACCACAGCACTACTTCCGGTTTTCTGGTGGTTCACTGGAGATGAGTCTCATGGGACTTCCCTGACGGGATTGACTTGGAAACCTGGATCCTCAGATCTCAGCCTCTTGAGTTGCTAGATTATAGACATGAGCCACCAGGGTCTGGCTCAACCGCAGTCTAAGACAGTTATGCAAGGCTCCTGGGGCTGCATAAAGCTTAGGTAGCAGGGTTGTGAGTGCGGGCAGGGCTGGGCGCTAGGCTGTTGATGAGCTGTGTGTGTTGGCACTGTGGCTTTTCGAATGGGTTAATTACTCTGACAACCTTTCCTTTTTCCAGAACAAGGATAAGCTAAGGATGAGTCATTTTCATGGGTTTTCCTTTTTTTGTTTTGTTTGTTGTGTCGTTTTTGTTTAGAGCACACCCCTCAAAGCAATCCCTTATCATGAATTTGTCCTAGGAAATACAGTCTGGGGGGGGAGTAAACATCCAATCTGGGTGCTGGGGCTCACACCTGTCCTCCTGGCTACACAGGAAGCTGAGATCTGAGGACGGAGGTTCAAAGCCAGCCTGGGCAGAAAAGTCCACAAAATTCGTATCTCCTATGAACTACCAAAAAGCCAGCAGTGGAGTTACGGCTCGAGTGGTAGCACACTAACCTTGAGCAAAAAAAAAAAAAAAAAAAGCCCCCAGGCCCAGCGTACACACACACACACACACACACACACACACACACACACACTGCATTCTGATATTCGCTCAGCTTTCATGTTTGAGCCTCAGCCAGCAGATCAACATATAATCTCATCCCTAGGCTGCCAGCCATGGGATCCAATTACATCTTCCATCGTTTATACCTTGAAGGAGAGTGTGATTATAAAACCCCCTGAACTAGCGATGCTGTAGAGACCTAGTAGATTCGTGATGGCCACAGCGGAGACTTGGAGGAGTCGGGGGGGGGGGGGAGTAGCTAATGATGCATGCATGGCCATGTCTGTACGCTGTGACGTCTGTACGCTGCGGAGGAGTGATGTGGCGTCTTTCCTTCCTGGCAGGAAAAGACAGCCGCAAGTGTGAGCTCAACTGCCAGGCGGCGGGCTACCGCTTCTACGTCCGGCAGGCGGAGAAGGTGATCGACGGCACCCCGTGTGGCCAGGACGGCGTGGACATCTGTGTGTCGGGACAGTGCAAGGTGAGCATGGTGGTGCGTGGCGCGTGGGCCTTCCTGGGGTCACTGTGGACCCCACTCGGGAGAGCTGAACTCTGGGAACAGTCAAGATGTGCACGCACAACACACAGCACACGCACACACACACACACACACACACACTTACTGGAACTCACATTTTAAAAGAGAAAGAAAACACCCAGCATGAGTTTGGCAGGGTGGGCTTGTCCCTAGCCTGGGGCTATTGCTCTCTGAGACTTCAAACCTGTCTGTGCGGTGATTCTGCAAAATCCACCTATACTCAGCCCCCGTTGCGCTTTCCTGGATTGCCCAACAAATCTCCTGCGGCTTCAAAGGTGAGAAGGGCAGAAGTGGCAATCAGGAACAAGTGAACTGGGCCAAGGAAAGGTCTCACAGCCAGGAGGAAAAAAGCACAAAATGATGATGATGACGACAATGACAATGATGATGACAGCTGGCACTGGTGGCTCACGCCTGTCATCCTAGCTACTCAGGAGGCTGAGATCTGAGAATCATGGCTCAAAGCCAGCCCAGGCAGAAAACCTGAAGTGGGCTATGGCTCAAGTAGAATGCTAGCCTTGAGCCGAAAAGCTCAGGGACAATGCCCAGGCCCTGAGATCAGGCCCCATGACTTATGATAATAAGAATAGTAATAGTAATTAGGACATTCATGGAGAAACACAGCCTGAGGGTTCTTGAAGCTGTGGCTTTGCGGGGAGGGGATATGAGGGCATTGCTGCTGTGGGAATTTCTGCCACCGTCTTCACGTTGGGTTTTCTAGGGGTTCGCAGCAATTTCTCTGACCTTCTCAATCCGTCGTCTAACAACATGACATTGGCCGCTTTTCCCATTTACTTGGCTAAGATTTCATTTTCACACTCTCCTGGGGAGGAAAAAAAAGTGTTAGTCACGATTATGGCTAAGAATCTTCTGGACCTGAGTCTCTCTGAACTTCATCTCCGGGCCAGGAGACACCTGGGCCCAGGGGACGGAATAGATCATGGATCCAAAGGTTTGATTTTCAACACCCAACCTGTGTCAAAGCTAGACAGGACAGAACCCCAGGGTGTGTGTATGCACGCATGTACAGGTATGTATGTGTGCATGCGTGTGCACATGTATATGTCTGTGTGTGTGTGTGTCTCACAGGAGGCTGTGATCAGCAGCACCTTGGTTTGGGGGTGTCCAGATAACTTTCTAGCAGCTGAGCTCAGTTTCCTGTGCATTGGGAGTGACCTTCAGAGGTAAGAGCTAAGGTACAGAGGCCCCAGGGGGCCAGCCCTGCCTTCTGTATTCTGCGATTTCCCCTGTGAGGAGGAGGGGTAGCTTCTGGATTTGTTCTGTCTTCATGTAGACATCTGATCCCCTTGGAATGGCCGTGGGGGCCTCCCTACCCCCCTGTGAAGGAACTCCGTGTCTTCTTGTTGCCCTTCTGCCTTTATAGATGAAATAATCCAACGTCAAGCCGGGGATACAGATGTGGCTCAAGTGGTAGAGCACCTGCTTAGCAAGTTCAAGGCCCTGGGTTCAATCCCTGGTACAACCACACACCCTCCTCTAAAAGAAAAAAAAAAGTCATCGTGAGACTGGATAACTTGGCTATAGTTCTCTCTGGGGAAGGGCACAGAGAACTGTTTTCCTAGAACTGTCTGGCACTGACACCTAGTGTTGCAAGCTGAAATTACAGCCATATTACAGAAAAGGCCATATTACAGAAAAAGCATCAATTGTTGTTTAAGTCCAGGCTCCCAGTAGACTAAACAGACCCCAAAGGAGATGAGACACTCCAGAGTTGCGGGCAGGACCTGGGGCAGACCTGACTGAGGGTCTCAGCTGCTCCCGGGACTTGTCGGCGCTGCCCACAGCACCCTGCGGGCAGACCCCAAACAAGCTACTGTCCCGTCCTGGGTGGGTACACGTGAGTGCCTTTAGCCCAGTGCCCCTCCCTCTGGGTGTTTCCAAGCCTGGTGTACGCATGCACCCCTGGCCACAGTGCCTTGATCTGTTTCTGTCACTGTATAAAATCCGCAACAGTGAGGTGAGATTTTTTTTCCACATGGGAAGATCTGGGCGCAGCTGGTGCCACTGGCCGGAACAGAGTGAAGGTATGCCGGCCTCATCCGAGCTAGTGGCCAGGAGCGGCTGCAAGGCCCAGGGATGAATATGGTCGAAGGGCCTGGCAGGGTCCTGGCCAGTGCAGCAGTGGCTCATCGCTTCCCCTGGTTGCTGGAGGGATACAAGCAGATGACATGGCAAACCCAGCCACAATCCCCGATGTCTGCTTGGCCCTGAAAGGGCTGGCCCCTTTGCACACAGGTCAGTGCAGGGTCCTGGCGGCCATTCTTCCTGCTTTACACCATGCTTTCTCTCTGGTCCTCACAGCTATTTCGTTGCTCTTAGGTTCTTGGCACAGCTAACCTCCCTGGCTATCTTTTATGACAGATTGCAATGAGTGTGTGTGTGTGTGTGTGTGTGTGTGTGTGTGTGTGTATCTGCCAGTCCTGGGGCTTGAACTCAGGGCCTGGGCACTGTCTCTGAGCATTTGTGCCCAAGGCTGATGCTCTACCACTTCCAACAGCTTTTCCTTTAAGTTTGAAATCTCTCAAAATACACAGTTGGAGGGAGGAATGAAAGGCTTCTCTTGTTTTCCTTGTTGGCTTCTCTGTCCGCAGATCTCTACCCAGCCCGGCTCTGTCTGGTCAATTGGGGTTTAGCCTGTAATTAAGAGAAAAACAGCCGGGTACCTGTCATGGCTCACGCCTGTAATCCCAGCTACTTGGGAAGCTGAGATCCGGAGAGCAGTGATTCAAAGCCAGAAAAGGCAGGAAGTCCACGGGAGTCTATCTCCAAAATAACCAGCAAGAAGCCAGGGTGGGAGTATGGTTCAAGTGGTAGAGCACCAGACCAGCAAGCAAATTAAGCAAATATGAGGTCCTGAATTCAAGCCCCAATACTGACAACAATAATAATAATAATGATAAAGTAGAATAAAAATAAATTAAAAAGACTCCACAGATGCCTCATTTGCTAGATGCAGTCCTGTCCCCAGGACTTCAAGGCAATCCTTCCTGCTTTCAGTACGAAACCTTCTAGAAAGATTGCACGCCCATGGCAGCCTGCAGTTGCCTCTACATGCCACAAGATGGCGCCTCAACACAGGGGAAAATCCTCCATGAGTCCTGACTGGACACTGACAGTTCTTGAATCAAGCAAGGTGGAGCTGAGTTAACATCTTGGCTCAGGCTGGGCCTGGAGATGGTGCCCATGGCTCATGCTTGTAATCCTCAGCTACTCAGGAAGCTGAGGTCAGAGGCTCACTGTTTGAACCTGGCCTAGGCAGAAAAGTCTCCATGAGACTCTTATCTCCAATTAACCCCCTCCACCCCTCTCCCCCAAAAAACCCCAAAAAACAGAAGTGACACTGTTCTCAAGCACTACCCTTGAGCACAAAGAGGCTCAGGGACAGCACCTAGGCCCTGAGTTCAAGCCCCACAACTGGAAAGAAAGAAAGAAAGAAAGAAAGAAAGAAAGAAAGAAAGAAAGAAAGAAAGAAAGAAAGAAAGAAAGAAAGAAAGAAAGAGAAAGAAAGAAAGAAAGAAAGAAAGAAAGAAAGAAAGAAAGAAAGAAAGAAAGAAAGAACGAACGAACGAACGGAAGGAAGGAAGGAAGGAAGGAAGGAGGAAGGCAGGCAGGCAGGCAGGCAGGCCTGAGTTCAAGTCCAGTGTCACCAAAATCATAAGCAATGCAGACAGGATCAGCACCAATCCCTTCTTTGATACCTCCAATGAGAAAACATCCCGCTTACAATAGCAAGTAGTTTCTGTTGTTTCTGCATGTTTTCAAACCATTGAACCTCGATATTCTCTCTCCCTCTCTCCTCCTCCTCTCTGTAGTGCAAAACCAGATGTGAGATTCCTTCCGACAGTTGAAAACTGGCCCCATGGTTCTCTTTTGTCTTTTTCCAGGCAAATCTTCCACATCTGTCCAGACTTCTAGAAAAAGCTCCACACCTCACTGTCTCTGTTTCCAGGCCCCTCTGAGAATGCGGTCTCCATTTATTAGTACGACGGGGCTGTGTGCAGGCTGTTGGGCGGTCTAGTTCCCTGGCTGTGGTGAGTTTGGACCCACAGTCTTCCTCTCATTGTTACTGGGGTGGTTCTTGAACTCGTGTCCAGTTCAAGGCTTCCCTGGGCCATTGTGCAGGTAAATGACATTTCTGAACCTAAACGAGAGGCTTTGCATTCATCCCCACCCACTTCTTTTGGGGCCCGCTCACTGAAGTCATTTAGATATCTGCTGCCCTCCATCCTGATTTCATCCTATTACTTATTTTGCCCGGCTTGGGCAGCATGGCCTCTGTTCACAGCCCTTCTCCATCTCCAGCCCGCCGTGAGCAGTGCCATGTTGCCTTCATCTGGGTTGCATTTCACCCTCATGTCTGCAAGAATTTCCTGTGAGGTCTGGCCGGACGCCTCGGTGAATCCGTGCATTCTGCGTCTCGGACAGTCCCAGCTGTCCATCATGGTGACCCTGCTGCTGGCTGCAGAGGCCAAAAGGGATAGGAACAGAAGGACTTGAACTCGGGCTCGGCCTCGCTGGTCACTACTCCCTCAGTCTTTTGGACTACAGTAGCTTGCAGCTGTACATGTTGTGAGAGTGGACTCCAATCATCCTGGCTTTATTCTCAGTGTGTGTGTATATATGTGTGTGTGTGTGTGTATTTGTGTGCATGCAAGCGTGCATGCTTGCACACATACCAGTACTGGGATTTGAACTCAAGGCCTTGCAGTCTCATTTGGCTTTTTCACTCAAGGCTGGTGCTCTACCATTTGAGCGACAGCTCCACTTCTGGTGTTTTTTATTTAATAGTTAATTGGGAATAAACATCTCACAGGCAGGCTGGCCGGTGCTGGTGGCTCACACCTGTAATCCTAGCTACTCAGGAGGCTGAGATGAGAGGATCGCGGTTCAAAGCCAGCCCAGGCAGGAAAGTCCGTGAGACT